TCTTGTGCTGATTTTTATTTTATATAAAAATAAGGAGAGTAGGTATGAGTGCCAATGAGACAACTACCCGCTAGAGATCAATTGATGTGAATTTAATTAGTTATAGGTCACCATTCCGACATGAAAAATGTGAAACAATTTAAACGAGAAAACTAATGTTCCTATTTATAACAATTCAATTAACGAAAATCAAACATGACGGACATAAACAAACGACAACCACTTAATTACAGGCTCCTGGCTTTGGACAGGCACACAAAGAATGCGGCGGGGTTAATAAAGTTTGTGAGCAACCCTCCCCTAACATAGGACAGTGGTGTAACAGCACAACATAAGAACAAACTGTAAAAAATCTTTCTTTTATTAACTTTATGATCAAAATTAAAAGGGGAGAATTGAGATCTCACGATACTAAATATGCCTATCTTTAAGTCAGGAGCCTCATCAGTGGTTGTGTTAGGTCGGATCGTAACAGGTTTTGGGTCGTTTTCTTTTTATTTTGGGAACTAGTGTTGATGGCATATCTGTTTATTTTAATTTGTTTATACCTGACGATTCAGAACTTCACATATTTTATGTCTATACAACCCATCAAGTCGTGGGCTATTTTATTCATGCCTTGGGTTGCTGTCTTATTGATGTATTAGTATTCAACATCTTAGTTTATTGATACACAGAGCTGGCACAGCCATCAGATGCTTCCGAAGCAACGAATTCCATGCTCCACAATAATGCAACAAATTATAAGCTATAGCGCTGAGAAACTTGTTATTCTTGAAAGACCACTTTTTCTGAGACAATTAAAATGGCGTAACTCGGATTTGTAATTGAGAAAATGAAAATCGAACTTGACTTTCTTTTCATGATAGGTTATAATGATGCAATTATGTATGGTGCTATTTCAAATCTAAATTAATTTACCGACCAGAACCATAGATACACGTAATATTGCGACAAAAGTATAAAGTTTTACTTGACCTGCCTTTTGTGATGGATAGTAGTATTGCAAAGCTGATTGGACAGCCCTACTCCAAAAGGTAACTGTCACTTGGAAACTTTTTTTGAACTGATCGACTACAAGACCAAGTAATTACTTGTAGATTCTCAAAAAAAAAATATTTAGGAAGTAAAGTATACCTCCTAGGTGAAACTAGGATTTTCCTGTGATGTTTTACCAGTCAGTCAAATATGCATTGGTATACCTTTAGTGAAACTATGATTATCCTGTGATGTTTTATCACCCAGTTAAATCACAGGTAGTAATGTCGTCATATCGAGGAGCGTTTAGTACAGTGATATAGTCATAGTGTGGTTAATTTGGTCATGGTTTAGTTAGGTTACTTCCCAGAACGATTGCCTCAGTTCTTTTCAAATGAGCAAATATAAAGCAAATACATGTACGATCTTTGAATCTATATTGTAATTCAAACGATCTACATTGAAATTGTTGTTTTTAAGATATTAATGCAGAATAAGCAAAATATCAAAACTGATATGGTTTGGTTAAGCGATTGACATGGTTCAGTTAAGTGTCTAGAAATTCGTCATGGTTTTGAACAAATTTGTCATGATTTAGATCCAAATTAATACATATTTGTTTCACCTTAATAGTGATAGTTTGTCTGGAGGCGCTTGTGAAAAATTTGGTGGGCGTAATCGGCATAAAACCACTACCTTAAAGATTTTTACTTTTCGTGTGTATCCTAATTTATTATTTATATAGCCACTGCTCTTTTTAACAATAAATTACAAAAACTGAAAGCGTTGCTTCTGTTTCAACTAGAATCTTTTCTTCGTATGTCCATGATGGACTCTGTCCGGGATATCGTGAGCGGCGTCACTAGACAAATGGTTAAAGACGTTCCGAATTTAAATATATGAAAGATCACAATTTCGAATTAGAATTAGGTCGATATAATGTCCATTTTTATCAATTATTATTACGAATGAATAAAAATGATAATGTTTTTGTCGTATTGTATAAATGTATTGTGTCGTATCACTTAACCCGTTTAAGCTTTTTTCTTTTAGGCAATAAAGGTTCGATAATATCAGAAAAAGCTCTGTCGATCTAGTATTTAGTATGAGTAATTGTACATTACTTGAAGCGATTGAAAACAATTCCAAGATACACGCGTTATTTTGTTTGGTACAAGTACGTTTAAACTATGAACGACCTTAATTTTGACCCGACTAGACAAGAAATCATCGTTCTTAATAGCAGAGAATCAGACGGATGAAGATGAATATTGGCAGCAGAATTCCATTCTGAAATTTAAAAAAAAAGTTACTTTTTGTCTTGGATTCGTGACTTTTCTCTTAGTTGTTATTGGCTTGGAACTAGCTTCCAGTAAATGCGATCACTCACAGATCGGTTCTTTGTATCTTTGGTGTTTATGTTACTTGATTATTTCTCTTTTATCGATCTGATGAGTCAAGTCCTTTTCAATTGATTTTGACAGTTTGTTCTTCTTTGTTGTGTTGTTACACCACTGCCCAGGTTAAGACGAGGAGAGGGTTGGGAACCCGCAAACATGTTTAACCCCGCCATATTCTGTAAATGTGCCTGTCCCAAGTCCAGAGTCTATAATGCAGTGGCTGTCGTTTGTTATTGTATATCATATTTGTTTTTCGCTTATTTTTTTTAACACAAATCCGGCTGTTGGTTTTTGAATTGTTTTACATTTAATTTTGTCGGAGCCTTTTATAGCTTGCTAAGAGGTATGGGTTTTGTTTATTGTTGAAGGCCGTGCGGCGACCTATAGTTGATAACATCTACGTCATTTGGTCTCCGGTGGATAGTTGTCTCATTGGCAATCATACCATATCTACTTATTATATATTACTATGTGGTTTCTTAGGTCCTTTTGTATTCCAAATAAACTACTTTTAAAGAAAATTTCCAATGAAATGCATTAATACATTATCCTCGTGATTTCTTTATACATGCGTGTTCTATAAAGATAACTATAATGATAATATCTTAAATTTACGGTAGACGACTTATTTTCTCGAGCGATATATATACGTAGAAGATCAACGTTAATATGTGAAACGTATATCTACTCGTACGGGAACAAAACAACAACATTAGAAAACGGAGACAATATATTACCTCGAAATAGTATAGAATGTGTTAAACGCGGGAAAAAAGTATCGGCAACAATTATTTTTAACAGTATTTCAATAGTTGTATAACGTCTATTTTGATCGTTACTCTTCCATCATACACGACAGGAATCACAGAAGTGAACCATGTCGAACAAGAACCAAACCATGACACCAAATTTTTAGTAATCGCAAATTGTGTGCAAATGTAACTATTTTTCAGAATAATGGACGGCAGTTTTATATTATAACGAAAAATGTAATGTAATGTAACAGACAGAAATCAAATCACTTTTTTAAGCATGAGAAACGAATAAGCATTTTTGAAAATTTGACATACGCAAGCATTATTCTGTGTCAAATTATTAACTATATGATACAAATTTTAGTGTACTAACATATTAGCTATAAACAAAGATACTTACCAGCTTGAAGTTATGTTCATAAGTTCCTTTAGTAAAAAATCAGAATGTTTATATTGTGTCATTGTTTGTCATTAAAAACACTTAACACAATCATGTCCAACTTAACAAAACTATGACAAAATCACTATACTAAACGCACATCGATATGACGACGTTAAGAACTACCCGTGTAAATATGTCTTGGTTTACCTTTAGTTAAACTAGAATTTCCCTGCGATGCTCAACCAGTCAGTTAAACATACCAAGGTATACCATTAGTAAAACTGAATTTTCCTGTGATGCTTTACCAGTCAGCTAAACATATCAAGGTATACCTTTAGTAAAACAAGGATTTTCCTGTATGCTTTATCAGTAAGTTAAATATGTCATGGTATACCTTTAGTGAAATATGATTCTCCTGTGATGTTTTACTAATTAGTTAAAGATGTCATAGTATAACTTTAGTGAAAGTAAGATTCTTTTTTGATGTTATTCCTTTCAGTTGAAGATTTGAATGCATATCTAAAGTACTAGGATTCTATTGTGACGATTAACCAGTTAGCAAAACATATGATATATCTTTAAGTGATACTAGGATTCTCTTGGGTAAACTTTATGTTAAACTGGGATTTTCCTGTGATGTCTTACAATTATTCAAAACGTTTGAAGGCATATCTGAAGTGAAACAAAGATTTCTTTTCTATCGAGAGTACCGATAGAAACAGGAAGGGGTTTAGTGATGTTTCAGATGTTTTACCAGTCAGGTAACCATTTCAGGGTATACATTAAGTAAAACTTCGATTCGCATGTGAAATTTACCAGTTAGTTAAAATGTCATGGTATATCTTTAGTTAAACTATAGGAACTTGTTCATATGAGGCAGACTTCAAAAAGAATCTTATTTGGAAGAACAAAAAGAAGCCAGCATTATTTTTTAACTTCACGTTCAGCTATATAGAAATAAATGATTCAAAGTTTTGTGACTGTATTGAACTCAGCTTTCCTATACAGTTACTTATACCTCATATCTTGACTTACATCTAGAAATTGACAATGAGTGTCGGTTGAGTAAAACCTTTACGACAAAAAAGATAATTTCAGCTTCCCAATTGCGATCTTTCCATTTCTATGTAGTAACATACCAGCAGCGCCTGCATATGGAGTATATATCTCCCCAGTTGATATGATTTCTAGAGGTTGCATTTCCTATCATGATTTCCTTGGTTGCTGTTTACATGCTAGGCATACAACCGAGGGTTCCAAGTAGTGAAGTTGAAGTAATCCCTTCGAACATTTTACGGATTACTTTGTTGACCGTTATAGAAATATCTGTTTCACAGATGATGACGACGGGTGTTCAAATTAGGATAACCACCATCACATTGGAATGTAACATTACCGAATATTAACTTACATGAGCAACACGACGGGAAGAGGATTTGCTTACCCTTTCGCAGCACCAGAGATCACACCCGGTTTTGATGGGATTCATATTGCTCAGTCTTTAGTTTTCTATGTTGTGTTTTGTCTATTGCTCGTTTTTCGTCTTTTGTTTTGCCATGGCGTTGTCAGATTGTCTTCAAATTATGGGTTTGAATATCCCTTTGGTATCTGCGCTTCTCTTAAAGGTATATCTTAAGTGAAACTAGGATTCTCCTGTGATGTTTTATCAGTTTATTAGACATGTCACGGTATACCTCAAGTTAGCACAGATTTTACAATTCAGTTAAACATATGGAGGTATCTTTTAAGTGTAACTAATATTCATTTTAATGCCTGTCAGTTAAACATGACATGGTATACCATTAGTGAAACTAAGATTTTCCTGGGATGTTATACACGTCAGTTAAACATGTCATTTTATACCTTCAGTGAAATAATGATCATAATGTGATGTTTAACCAATCAGTTAAACATGTCAAGGTATACATTTAGTAAAACTAGGATTCTCCTGTGATGTTTAACCAGTTATATAAACATGTCATGGTTTATCTTTAGTTAGACAAGGATTTTCCTGTGATGTTTTAAAATTGTAACGTGTCAAGAGAGGGGTGAAGTATGACTTTAATACTACTATTCTCGTAAATATTCCTATGCAAGTTATGATGCAACACTACTGGAACACTTATTATCTCCTTCCAGTTTTGACTCCTAGGTACTACACATGACTTATTTATAAATCGTCCTTATAGTTATTGTTTCAATCTTTATTTCATTTGCCATAACACAAGACAAAACTTACCTAAAAATTTGAAAAGATATATCAAAATATAAAACAACCATTGCCCCTAAATTAAGTAAAAGGAAAGTGTTTTTCCCTTTGAATATTTTCATAAAAAGTACTAATATACACTGTAAAAAACAATAGGCACATGTTGCATGTAACGAAAGATTAAAGCAAAATAAAGACACGAGGCATATTTCTTGCCAGTCTATAAGTCCTGATATCACTGTAAGCGTTCCATGTGTACTATTATAACTTGTAATATTTGGGTCAGTACGACATTGTTCAGAGAAATCGGCACCATTTTTATAAGTAATATTAAAGGCTAAACTTGTACATGAGATATTTCCAGAACTAAGTTCTGTACAATTTGAAGTTGTTTTGTTCAGTGTATTTATATTGGGCATGGAATTAAAATTATTGAATTTTAGTAGGTTACCAGTAGATGTGTAATTTAAAACCAACGGTGAGAAAAAACAAAGGATTTGAGGGAAACCTAACATAAGAAAAACTAAATATCCTCTAAGATGTAAAAATGTTTCAAATATTTTTATCAATATCGAAAACATAACACCACCGTAAATCATTGCATACATCACCCTGTATATGATTTGAATGTATGCAAATGGACCAAAAACTATTAAAAAAACACACCCTAGAAGTATCAATACTAAAAACAAATATAAATATCGCCAAAACAGATTTGAAAACCTCATGTAAAACGTTCTTGATAATACCCATAGAAGTACAATCGCGAGTAATATAACGTTTATGCTTCTCGTCACCTGCACCAAGGTAATATTACCAGATTCGGCGACATGTCCAACGCAAAAAAAAGCATTTTGACTTTCCTTTCTAATAACAGAGGAAAGATGTATTGATAGGCAAAACGTCACTCCCATTACGAAGAACATGAATAAAGCAAATACTTTATAAGTCTTCTCGATTGATTGTTTATGTTTTGCACTATTGTTTATGTATTTGACTGTATCACAACTGTTTTCAATTAACTCTAATGCTAAATCGCCACGGTAATTAAATAAATAAGGATTTGCCCCATTCGCAAGCAACGTATCTATACAATTACTGTTTAACTCTTTTAGAAGGCGTCTGATTATAACAGAATGTAAGGGGGTGTTACCATCTCTATCTGGCATGTTTACACAGTCACGACAAACATTTCTGAGAGAAGTTTGTAGAGCAATATTAAAACACATGGTCTTGAAAGCTGACATTGGTATTTTTACATTCTCTCCATCCTCTTCTGCGTTTGGATTAGTCTCTAAACACTGGTTTCTAGAGCTATGAGTTAGCAATAATTGTGTTGCACTTTCACTCTTTATGTAATGTAAAGGGTTTCTATGTAAAACATCACGAACATTTATTTCTGCTTTATTACGAAGCAGAAGAGTTAGTATCTCGATATTATCGTTTATAACCGCTAGATGGACAGCGGTGAGTCCATTATTGTCAACTATGTTTACATTTGGTGTCGGCTCTTTTCCCACCAATTCTCTTTGGTCATCTATCGTAAAGTCTAAATAGGAGTCATCATTTTCGGACAATTCTGCATGGAGTAAAACCTTCACAGCTTCCAAATTGTTTAATGATACAGCGTAATGCAGGACTGTCCATCCGCTCTTTGTTTTATAATCAATATTCTCTGATTGAATATTTGATTTCAATTTTTCTAAGTTGTTTTGTCGGACTGCTTCATGAAGCTCAGTCTGGTTCAAATCACATTCAAGAATTAAACTAGTTAATTGGTGTTTGTTTGAAGTGACAGAAATTGGGATATTCATTCCAAACCATCCTCGGAGGTTTATTTGTGCTCCATTTTTCAAAAGTAAGCGTACCAAATCAAGGCGACCTGACTTAACTGCTATATATAAAGGTGTTTCCCAACATTCGGAAAAACAGTTAGCATCTGCACCAGAACGCATTAACTGTACTACAATATTTAAGCTACCTCCTAGAACAGCTAGAGGAAAGAAGGACTTAAGCTTGTCACATGGGGGTAAGGAATTGAATATAAAATCAATACCCAGAATCGAAGTACGATCAAAAGTTGTCATCTTACTCCATGCATATTGAAATAACTCATAGCAGCCAAAGGCCACAATCCAGTACAGAAATGTACTTCTGAAAGTCGAATTAGTATCTATAACTCGACTAATTGCATCTCTGTTATCTTCTAATCCATGATTGGATAGAATTTTTAACATATTTTCAAACACTGACTGATTGCTGCTCTCTCTCCGCTCGGAACTAACAGTCTTCCAAAAAGTATTTTTTGATTCAAGAATACTCTGATTATTTTTAAAATGGGTTCCAAATATATGAACAAATTTCCTATTCTTAAAAAGGTGACTCATCAACAAACTGGAAAATCTTCCATTGTTTAATTCAGTCCACATTCTAGTGTACAACGCTGTAAGATGATCCTCATTCAATTCAACTTCCTGAATAATCACGATATTTTCATCGACATTTTCATTCATGTTTTCATAGGGATGAACTCTGACTCGATCTCTTATAAACAAGATACCACAGTCTGAAAAAATTACTCTGGGATCGAACGTAAAGAAATGATAGCCGACAGTTTCTTCAAGAGAATCATGAATAAACCGGAAAATGTCACTGACCTTAACAAAATAAGATCCTAAAGCAGACACAGCGCTATCCTCAAGTTCTTTCTTAGACATGTATCTTTGAAGTCCGCAAGTTTGCATTATTCTGTCTATTTTTTCATCACATTCAACTGAGTCAATATCAAATATACTTCTACTAAATGAACCATTATACAACATACATATCACCAAAATGCAATATAGCTTCTTATTTTCATTACAAATCTTGTCAAGTTCATTCCTTAACAGTAATAATGGTTGCCTAAAGAATGCGATTCTGTTTTTGAATCTTTCCTCGTCATTTGAAACTAATTTGCAAAGAAGGGGAAACGCATAATTCGTTTCACACATTATCTCAACCTCCTCTCTTTTAATTTCCGTTTCTAAGTTATTTTTCTTAAGATGTTTCATTAATATTTTCAGTTTGTCCTCTTTTGAAAGAGCATTAGACTCGTGCTCCAAATTAATCACCCCTTTGTTTAAAATTGTCGATGCATTTTTAAATCTTTTATGGCGTGCTATTTGTATTCTCAGGGTACACAATATTTTGTTTGAATCTAATTCGGTTTCAAAGCAATTCATTAGCTTTTCGTTTATTCTTTCCCATTCTTCCAACAAGGTCGGACTTAAATCGTATTTACCAAGGACATCATCCATTATAAACACTTGTTTTTTGTTTTTTTTGTATTTGATTATATCCTCTGGGGATTCTACGGGAACAATTTCATAGCCTTCCAGTTTATATTTTAATGCGATATGTCGGATGGTGGCTGTCTTTCCTAATCCTGAATTTGATGTCACCAGAATACAATTGCAATCCTGTACTTTGCCATAAACAAGTTTCGATCCCTCTGTCTCGTAAAAACTTTCGTCATCTTTTAGCCATGTTTCAACAAAAGTCGCATTCGCGTCTGTAAATAAAAAACCATCTCTACATATAATCAGTATAATTGTTATTGATGTATTGAGCAGAAACTCTAAATAAGGATATTTTCCAAATTATTCAGGTTATAAATTATCTGAAACAATAAATAAGAAATCTATAAATTTAAGTGTTCAACAGCTCCTAACATCCTGATCGTGTTGAAATTTTAATATAAAAGCATACTCAATTAATGAATGGAACTGTATCCCAACCTGTGTTTAGTCACTTCAAATTTTAAACTGGTTCTATTGATAAAATTGAAACAAACCTGCAATATTTTTGGGAAGATTTCCTTCCCTGTAATGAGAGAAATCATTTTCTATCTGTTCTTTTTCCTTTTCACAATCTAGGTATTCTTTTGTCAGTTGCTTCAGTTCTGCGTTTGCTAATGTTTTTGCTTGTTCTCCAGCAAGATCGTAATTCAAAATTTCAGTGACCTCATGTGGTTTCTGACCATTATTTAAAGATGTCAATGCCTAAAATGAGAAGAGCTAGTGTACTATATAAATAACACATAGTGAGAGGGTGATAGAGCAGATTGTTACCCGTGAAAACATTGTCAACTGAGGTGAAGCCAAAGTTGACAATGTCTTTTCGAGGGGTAACAATCTGCTCTATCACCCTCTCAGATATGTGTTATTTAATTTATTATACTGAAAGTTCTGTTATTGCTGTCTATTAAATTTCAAATTCAAAGTTATAAACTATGACGTCTTGTTCCCGAGGGAAATATGACTTTTTAAGGGTGAACAAAACTTCATATCTCCCTAAGCCAAGGGAAATGAATGTTTTATTCCACTGCCTATTATCCGAACATAAATTATTAATTTAAATAAATTCTTATCCGCTTGTTTTAATAACTAAACTCGACATAAACATTGATAAACAGTACCGATCAAAAGTTGATTATTCTTTCTATTTTTTTTTCATGTCTGAAATAATTTTGATCACGAAAATTACTATACTATCGCTATAAAAAAAACAACGTTGTGTTCATTAACCGCGGATAACGTCGCACAAGGAATTCCCGACATTCAAAGGGGAATATGATACTCAGAAGGGAATATGAAGTTTTGTTCAACGTCACGTGGGATAGTCTGAACCAATCGAATATCCTTTTTATTATCAATATTTACATACAGTGGAATAAAGTAAATTATCTCCCTCATAATAACCAGCCAAAATCATTTGACATGAAGTATAATAAAATTTATTATTATATATTCTCTCAAGTGACTTTTTAAACATTTCATTACACAGATTTTGTGTTTGTAACTTGAAAAGACATTAGGTATATCCATAAATCAGCCATTCTACTATTCTTCTTCGTGACGTTAATATGAAAATAAGAAGATGTGGTATGATTGCCAATGAGACAACTCTCCACCAGAGACCCAATGACATAGAAGTTAACAACTACAGTCACCATATGCCACCTGCCGTCATTTTATACTATTTCAAAATAGAATGGCTACTGATAAACATATAAATGTGTAACAAAATGTCCCTTCTTTCAAACAATATTGCTAAAATTGACCAAAACTTGTCAAATAATAATCATATTTTCTATATGTATGATGAATTGTTTACAGTTTGCCATTTAGTAAATTATGATGAATCAACTAATTGTTTGTTTCTTATGACCTTGTTTAAAGTGTATTGTATATATGATACAAGATGTACAATTAACATAAATTTATCATTAGATTGTTTTCAGAATCTATACCCCTCACAGGTACTTCACACAGTGTGTCTATAGTCCACCGCCTTAGCTGTGAGAAGAATATTAGGTATTTTATTTTCTCAGGACATGACTTAATCTTGAACCACTTGTATACCAGCTGAGGCCACCTGTGTATTCCAAAACTTAATTTCATGTCTAAATTACAAGTATTATTATCTGAACAAATGCTTTGATTTTCGGAATGTACCTTTTCAACTCGAGTCCATTTGTCTGTGAATTCATTGTTGTCCATAGAAGTAAGAGTCGTATGGGCTAATTGATTTCTGTACCACTTCAATGTTGCCAAGGCTGCTCCTGGTAACGTATCATTCGGATGCGGAAGTTGATCCCATCCATTGGAGGGTGTTAATAAACCTCCTAGATTGCGCAGCAGACATATCATCATAGTCAAATCAAAGTCCTTAGACGAGGTAGCTAGAAATAAAACAATGAAGGACGAAAATAGGAAGGGTCAATAATCACGGAATTATTTCACATTCGTCATGCTTGTGCCATTTTCAATAAGTTCTTCGTCTTTAAGTAAGTAAATTTTGTTTCACGTCGGCATATATGTACACAATAACATAGAAAACATGAGCTCTAATGAGCTCTTAAACCGACTATCATATAAAAAATGAGCTCTTTAACCGACTATCACATAAAAAACATGCAGTTTCATGCAAATAATAATAAATGGAAATAAAAAAGGCATGCAAATATAATGAAAGCAAATTTTAATTTCTGAACCGACTATCACATAAAAAACATGCAGTTTCATGCAAATAATAATAAATGGAAATAGAAAAGGCATACACATATAATGAAAGCAAATTTTGATTTCTGAACCTCCATGGTTTATCTTTAAAAATAAATTACAGTATCACACCATTAAATGTATTTTGAGGTACGTAGTAACAACATAATTCGTATTTCTGAACATGTAGTTAGGTTGTATGCAACTAAATATGGATTAAAACTGCAATTTTAAAAGCTTTCGTCAAACTTCGAGTATTCGTGAGGACATTCTTAACCAAATAAAATTTGTTTCGGAAGTAACTATATCGCCCTTCTAAAACAAATTCATTCATTAAAGTATGGGTGTCTTCCATTTAGCCAAATTTTACAATTAAACCATGTAAATTTTGTAGTATTTCATCAAAATTGTTTTAACAGCAATGTTGAATACCGAAAAATGTATTTTTCTAGTGATGACCACTAAGTAGAACATATTCGGGTGGGATTGGAAATGCTTTTAAGTCAAAATAGAAATTTTGTTTTTTCTTACTTGTAAATCATGTTTTATGAATGACCATATCAATGAGTTTTCAAGACTTATGGGTGGTGGTCCTTCATTTCTGTATTCTTTCATTTTTATGTAATTTTTCTCTGTTTTTTTATGTTTTAGCACCATTATTCTTTTTTTCTTTATATCTTTGTCCTTTTTTTCTTTATTCTTTATTTTTTTGAACCACTGATTTTCTGCCGCATTGGCCCATTATTCTCTATTCTATAAACTCCACCCAGACCCTCATAAAATTAAACTCAATAAAATATGTCCCAAACTCCCAAAGTTGTTCTAGTTACTTCAACACAGTTGATTCCAAAACTTTGATAAAATCCAAATAACTAAAAAACTGGGAACGTATAAAAGTTGGCCTTGGGGTCAAACAAAACTACTGTTGTCTTGAATCTAGGCAATATTTGAAGTAAACATTTATGGGGAAGAAAGAGGATTTTTTCTAAATGTGATAAATTTTTCTGACAGATAAAGATAAAATATGTATACCGCATTAAGGTTGCAACTTACTTTGGTTTAACCAAGAGTTCTTATATTACTGCATTAGGCACGAGGATGACATGCCAGTTATGTGTAACTTCTCATAATATTTTAACCAAATTGTCTATCTACATACATGTATACCATGTGCGTCTATATTCCACTTTGCCAAGCAGCACCATCCCTTGGTGGCTTTTGAAGTTAAATTACATATCAACTAAATTGCCAATTATTAAAAGCACTTTTCATGTTGGGGTGTGTCTCAGAAGGAGCTTTTACACTTGCAAACGTATACATCTTCAAACTGCTTTGACGTTACGCACGATATTGGTGTCACTTTTGGTAACGTCGAATGTTAACGTAAAAAGCATATAAATATTGACGTGTTGTAATATTGCGTTTCAGTATATCTTTTTTATACATTGTTTTATGTGATTAAAATAAGCTATAGGTATACAGTTTGTGTTCTGTAGTAAAAAGAAATGTATAGAATACGTATTGTGTTCTTTGAATGAAAGAATATGTGGGATATACCGTGTGAGTACATGGCCATAAGAATTCGTCACCTAAAAAATTTTGCTATACATCTCGTATAAATCGATGTGGTTTTTTTTCAAAAAAATATTGAGGGGCCATTTCTGGTTGGATTTTAATTAACCTAATACCAATAGAAGCAGAACTGTCATACGTTTTAGTGGTAATATATTTGTTGTGAAACATTAATTACCAATTTCTGATGATATAAACACATCATTTTATTATTTGTCCGAATTTTTTTTCTATATATTCCAACCAAATAAAATTGTAAATAAATTCAATACTTGTTCTCATCAGGAGAAAAAAAAATAACTGAAGAAAAAAATATGACCAAACAAACAACTACACTTCAGGCAATGCTGCGTCTTTCAACACATGGTTTGTGAAAATCCTACTCTAAAAGCCGTAAAGAAGTGTATTTTTTAAACGTAGTTTTATATTAAATATTTTTTTAATTTTTATCTTGACTGACCGATTTATATGTGTTTGAGAAAGTCAGAACTTATAAAATATATGAGTACCGGAGATCATGGTTATAGAATAAAGACAAAAAGAACGTACTTCTTCCATTGAGTCCGAACACCAACAATTGTGGAACTATAATATAGACATGGATAAACTATATTTACGCACATCAAAGTTCACGGTCTGGCATTCATTTTACATAATTTTTTAAGAGAAGAGTGAAGAGAAGTAGAGCCGTTAATTTTGAAATTTTCGGATAAATTGACTTTCTTTTTTTCTTTTTTTTTTAAACTTATTCACAGTTTTTTCAAAGCTGTATGGAAGACTGGTAGAAGTTTGAGCTCAAACTTTTGCGTTTTTATATATGTTTTTTTAGGATTTTACCATGTATTTCCAAAACGAATATCGAAAAAAAAAATACAAAGTGCACAGTACGGAATAAGTATGTTTTAAATAAGGGAGTGCGGAATAAGCAAAGAATTATTTTTCAAACAAGGGAAGGTTATATAGTGCAGACTATGTTTAACAAAATATAACTGAGTTTGCCTTGAAATTGCAAGCAGTGCATACAATAGGGTCTTTGCATCGGAATTAAACATATTTATTCTAAAACCAGTTGTTGGCATGACACGGGTTGTGTTCTTCTCATATATTTTATGATGGTATAATACTAAACCCCTAACAGGAGGGATTGTGCCTGATGTTCATATGATGAAGACATAATCTATCAATCAGTTTAATTGAGGTCTGGAGCTGGCATGTCAGTAACTGCAAGTAGTCTGGTTTTTTTATGTATTATTGTCATTTTGTTTATTTTCTTTTGTTTCCTATTCTGACATCGGACTCGGACTTCTCTTAAACTGAGTTTTACTGTGCGTACTGTTGTACGTTTGTTTTTTCTACATTGGCTAGAGGTATAGGGGGAGGGTTGAGATCTCAAAAAACATGTTTAACCCCGCCGCATTTTTGCGCCTGTCCCAAGTCAGGAGCCTCTGGCCTTTGTTAGTCTTGTATCATTTTTAATTTTAGTTTCTTGTGTATAATTTGGAGTTTAGTATGACGTCCATTATCACTGAACTAGTATACATATTTGTTAAGGGGCCAGCTGAACGGGACGCCTCCGGTTGCGGGAGTTTCTCGCTGCAGTGAAGACCCATTGGTGGCCTTCGGCTGTTATCTACTCTATGTTCGGGTTGTTGTCTCTTTGACACATTCCCCATTTCCATTCTCAATTTTATTGCTTAATCGCTTCATTAAATAGTAAACGGATGAGTAAAATATTGAAAAAATTATCTTTTTAAACTAATAAACAGTATTGCTAGGAATAATATGCAAGTACTCTCATTTTGTCTGTAACACGAGATAAAACGGAAAATGTTTGAATATTGATTGATTGATTGATGGTATTTCACGCCACTCTCAGTGCTATTTGCTATAGAAGCAGATGACGATCTTTTATTTCCATCAAATGGGCTTAAAGAAGAGTATATTACAATATAAGGCATTATTTTAGACAACAACAAAAAAAAAACCAAATTGGTGTCCATTTTTTTAATTGGTGGAGGAAGCCGGAGTACCCGGAAAAAACAACCGACGTTCGATAGAAAACCGACCGACTGGCAATCGTAGTAAATAAGGATCGGAGTAGAACACCATTGCTTCGAGTGGGGTTCATCGAATTAACAACCTCAATGTTGACAGGCTATTGATTACTGTAGATAAACTTCTTAGATCGCTCAGCAAACGAGGCCTCGGAAATAACAGGAAAAAAAAGATGTGGTATGATTCCAACGAGACAACTCCCTACCAAAGACCGAATGAGATAGAAGTTAACAACTATAGGTCACCGTATGCATGGCCTTCAACAATTATAAAAGTTATAAAAAATGAACAAATCCCATACCGCGCAGTACGCTATAAAAGGCCCCGAAATGGAAAATGTAAAACAATCCAAACGAGAAAACTAACGGCCTAATTTATGTACAAAACAATAAACAAATACACATTTTATATGATGTACAGCAACAAACAACAACTACTGAATAGCAGGCTCCTGACTTGGGACAGGCACATACATATAATCTGGCTGGGTTAAACATGTTTGCTGATGCCAAACCCTCCCTTAATGTGGGACAGTGGTGAAACAGTACAACACACTCGCACATTCTAAAATTATATCATTTTCTTCTTCAGTTAAATTCATTGTGTCTCTTTCTAAGAAAAGTTTACAGATAAATCAAGTCAAATGTCGACTTTTCATTAACTTAAGTCCCCTTGAAATTTGATGCGACTATCATACAAGTGAAAGGTTTAGCGCTATAAAACCAGGTTCAATCCACCATTTTCTACATAAGAAAATGCCTGTACCAAGTCAGGAATATGACAGTTGTTGTCCATTCGTTTGATGTGTTTGTGCTTTTGATTTTGCCATTTGATTAGGGACTATCCTTTTTGAATTTTCCTCGGAGTTCAGTATTTTTGTGATTTAACTTTGAAGATATTTAGGCAACTATTTGAAAGTTGGGGGCGAAGTTAGGTGTTGTCTCGCAGATTTTTTTCATTAGTTTAACTCATAAAAAATAAAAAACATTCTTCGTATATATAAATGAATAATAGTATTCCCACACGCATTTTACCGATGTTAACTCGATATGTACCGTAAGCCTATTTGCAAATTCCCCGGCAGTTCCAGCTCCGATCCACAACGGAAACGGTCACTGTACGGGGTTTAGCCTATTTGTATACTAACAAATACGTATGGAATACTAGTATATCTTTTATTACGTTTTTTTTTGTAATTTTACTGTAACTTGTTATAGTTATTAAAAAAAATCCGAATTTGATTTATTGCAGTTGTACCCAAGTTTGGCTTAATTTATTATAAGTTAAAACGATCAACATTTGAATTAATATGAATATTATACTTACATTTTGTATATGATGTAAGTAATATTTGATTTCTACTTTGGTAATTGGAAGATTTTAGTAAATATGTATTGAGTTGCTGTCTCATTGAAATGTACCCATATCACGTTTTATTAAACATAAATGTTATATTGAAAAGAGGAACCATTTCAACGAGGTGAAATGAAAAATATATATTCTAATTTCATACATTAGGTATTCTTTTGTTAGTATAGATACGTTTCAAATACACCATAATGCGAACATACGTTGCCTATATAGTTAACGTCAAAAACGTCAAATTAGAGATGCTGTGACATTTTGGTAGACCACCATGTGACCGCTTTATTTTGGTGATTTATGCATTAATCTTTATTTCAAATATATCGAAAGGTTCCTTTTGCAAAGGAATTTGATGTTATGATTATTTTTTTCAAACAACTGATGTTGTTTTCACTCTTTTTTGAAGACTTGTAATAACTTGTCCTTCATAATTCAAAGCAAAAATGATGACGCTAGCATTGTGACATTTTGGTAGACACCCTTTCAACGCATTGATATTCGATACTAATCGATAAAAATATAATTGAATGCATTTAATATTTTCTTTTTTAGTTGGAATTTATCATACTGGTTTTATTTCTCCGTGCTAAAATGTTTAACACATTATTTTACATTGTTTTCTGTAACCCACCCCGGAATTACTAACGTTAAACGTTGGTTAAAAGTTTTGTGACGGGAGACTTTGAGAATTCATATACCTAGTATTTCTTGGTTTAATGCTAAAAATGAGATTGACGTCCGAATAAATGCTGTTCAAATGTTATAGATTAGGAGGCATGCTAAATTTTCTGACTACATGAAATGTTTTGCACAGTTTTACTCAATATTGATAATTTCTTAATACAACAGTTTTTTTAAACGTTGTTGTGACAGTGTACTTCGGGCTAGGATTTTGGTAATGATATCGAAGTATTCATGGGATTTGCTCTTTTCCATTGGATTTCTTTGCTTTCGAAGAGTTTTCCGAACTTGTTTTACAAAAGGATATGCGCTATACTGAATTTGATAACATAAATCTCCCGCTATACATGGACTATGAACTGTTGTGCGGTAAGGGAGTGATATCTGTCAGTGGTGTCTACAATCAATAATGACTTCTTTCAAGGTCTACTCAGTTCGAAAATTGCGTTTTTCCGTATTAAACACATGTTATCCCAAAGCCCTAATTTTACTCTTCCAAGTGGTATAGCATTGTTATATTTCATATACTTATAAGTAACCGAAAATAGGAGGAATACTCAAAGAACAACATTAGTATGTTACCCGTCTACACGGAAAATATAAGATTTTTCTCGTTAGTATTCGGACAGCTGATTGACAAAGCCGAATAAAAAACAATAAGCCATCTGTAATTTAAATTCTTAAGTGCTTTAAAGGTTTTATACTCAAAATTCAATTATCTGTCTTGTATTTTTGTTATTTAAAGCTGATTTTTTGTCAAAGGTACATGAAATCAGAAAACGCCACCAACATTGTGCGTAACGTCATTGCATGTATACTTGATTATTGTTTTTTTTTTATCTAAAATAATATTGTAATATGCTCTTCGTGAGTCCATTTAATGGAAACTAAAACATCTTCTTCTTCTTCTTGTTTATTGTCAGTGTGTTTGATGATGTGCGATTGTTCCATCTAACTCGGGTCTTAATGTCAGGCACTTAATAACAATTTCCATAAGACTTTGACTGCTTTGCCATTTTTTTTATTATGACATTAATATGTTGAACCCCGCCAAAATGTGTGTGTGCCTTTATCCCAAAATCAGGAGCAGGTAATCCAGTGGTTGTAGTTAGTTGCAATCTGTCCTAAATCCCGATTCCTTCAATATTATTTACCTAAATTCGGCCGTGAGTTTTCTCTTTTGAATTGGTTCGCAATCTGGTATTGTGGGGCCTTTTATATAGTTTATTATACGGTATGTTTTGTGTTTATTGTTGAAGGCTATACGGTGACCTGTAAGTGCATGGTTATATCGTTTTCATCTGATCTTTGGTGGATATTTGTTTTTTGGCAATCAAGCCATATTTCAATATTTTTTTATCCTCCAATCAGCCAACTATTGTACAAATAACAGGTACACAAATAAATTTTTGCTTTATTTGTACTTGTACAAATAAAGTCTCCTGTTACCCCTCTTCCATGTTGAGCAAGCAGTAATGTGGATATTTCTTTTTGCGTACCAGTTCATTTTGGGGTCCCTTTCGCGGTCCGCGTTTAAACTATGTCGATTTCTTTGAAAAATTAGAGACAATGGTTTAAATTTTAACAACTAAAGTTTCAAGTGTTGGGTGTAAATTTCAGGATAAAAACAATATATGTACATTGTCGGAAAATATAAAATGTATTTGTACTCGCTGCGAAACAGGAGAAAAGCTCGGCCAGCCTCGCTTTTCGTCCTGTTTCTAAAGCTCATACAAATAAATCTTATATTTTCCGACAATGTACATATATTGTATATATATTTTACCTTAAGTAGATCATAACATTTCATATGATCTACACAGAAAAGTACTGATTCTTTATTATGGTACAATAACAAAGGTTATTTTTTCACAATCATATAAGTTTGGCTCACTATTTTACGCCTATCTAATAACGGAATGTGAATGCATGAGAAAAACTATCAACTATATTATAAATATTTACTTTTTGTTCCAACAGTCATCGGAGGAAGATAGGATGGCCATACTGTTCCTGGGATACACCTTAATATTTCTAATTGGGTCGCATTGATTCTTTTTGATTTGTTTAAATTGATAATGGCACGCATACTACTGTTAATAGTTTTGGCTAGGTGTGTTGGCGGAAAAACCCCATCAAAGAATCGCCTGGCAATGTCGGGTGATGCTTTAAAGTTGATGAGGAAAAATCTGGCGAAGTTTCTTTCTTCTTCTGTAAGTTGTGAAGTCATTATAAATCTTTAGAGCCTCTGAAGAACAACTTTGACCCAAAATATTCAGTCATGAACGCTGTTTTTCATCTTTACCACCATCAATCACCTGTTAGAAATATAAACATTTTTAAATTTGTATAACATTTTTTAAGTATTATTAAATGCCTGGATGGTTGTTTTTTATGCCAAGATGTTGTCTTCTTTTCTTCAGATTATATTTTTTGTCATTGGTATCACGGTTTAATTTTTCATACAACGAAAGAAGTGGAAATTTGTCGATAGGAACGTCGACAACGCTTCTAGTCTCTTCGAATTAAGCTATGCTATTACTTTATATAGAAAAAAATGCTCTTTTAATTTATTCAAAAAAGACAGCGTTTCATTGACACATAAATACTATTATATCCCATTTAAACAGTGCAGAAAATGCTGTGACATCATAAAATTGCAACAGAAAAAAAATTGAGTGTGTTTGTGTCTAAGCTGTCATCATATTCGTTATACTAAAAGTCTACAAAGATAAAAGTGGTGGAAACTGATGATTTGGGGTTTACAATCATCGTTTTTGATAAGATTTTTTTTTTATGAAAACTGGGAAATTTCATATTTATGTTATATAAATGGAGCAACATCTTGTATTACAATGTAACTCTATTTGAAACATCACAAACATGATTGTAGAAGGACCCCGACAAAATTTCATGATCAGAAATAAGTATTTTGAGGCAAAATCTATGATATGTATCGTAAAATCTCAGAAAACAGTAAACCAGAAAAATTCATTTGAAACATCCCAAACTCGATTATATAAGGAAACTGAAAAATTGCATGACCAGAAATTAGCATTTAGAGCTAAAAGCTATTAGATTCGTATCACAATTCTCCCAAAATCGAAACCGAAAAATTATGTCAAATGTAAGTTAACAACTTTGTTGTCTGTATTATCCAAAGTATATATACTGAATAAGTTGAAATATTTAAAATCTCTTATGACAAAAATATTTCTGATATCCTAGTCAAAAAGTTCCTTTAAAAAATCATCTTAAACTGGAAAATCAAATAAAATGTATCTATTTATAAAAAAAAATAAAAATATTGCAGCAGATTTCAATCTAATTTCTTAACAGTAAACCGGCATCACTTTAAATATAATATAAAATGATTAAACCACCGTTAAAAGCTATTATTATATATTAAGGATTTAAAATTACTAGTTTGGGTGTCAAAAAAGTATAACCCATTCTTCAGTGCACAATCTGTGAAACATGAACACTTTCATAAAGTTTTGTATCTTTTCCCTGAACATGGATACAAAGACACAAACTAATTTCATTTTCATTAAACATCTGTTGCATCAGACGTCAGTATAGAACATAATTCTCCTCCAACATAAGACTGTGAAATATCAAATTTTAGATATATGACCACCATCACCAAGTTATAACAGAAGACTCCAGCATTCTTCACTTGAAAACCTAGAGGCTTATAGATTTTGAGTTGTATACCAGTAACCCATCTAATTTAACGTGGATTTCATTTATTAAATCGACAATAGATCACTGTTGTCTATCATTTATGTGGCGTGATCTAGTAACATTTGAAAAGTCATTGCTAAAATCTATATAATAGCTTACTTAAACATGTAAAATATAGTTGGTCAGTTTATTCAAAATTGGTTTTCTCAAGTTCATATTTCGTCTAGGGTCAAATTTTTATTCCGTATCCAGAAAAAAATCTTGTTTGATTAAGTTAAATCTAAATAAATTACAGTCTTTTCATATCTTAACTAAGATTGTGCAACATAAGATGTCATATTGGTCTTATATATTATCGATCGATCGCAGCTGAGATTGAGATTACACATGTGTTATTCATGTCACAAATAGGTCACCGGAGATTGGGTTATACCTAGATAGTAATAATATCATATTAAGCATACATTGACAACTTTTAGAACTATGTTTAGGTATTTTCATTCTATTTAGTGTGTGCTGACATATATATAATCATAGAGGTATGCGACATTATTTTTTAAATAGATAATGCAAATTTCCTGCTTGCAATGATTTTTTCACGATGAAATAAGGATGTTTTTGACTTGCATATCAATATTTTTATCAAGGACTATCAAAACAAAATTCAAATTTATCAAGTATATACTCTTGGAAATATTAACAAAATATTTATATTATCTTGCATAACATCTGACAAATTTTCCGGTTTCCTTTTTTCTGAGATTTCATGTAAATAATACCTTTAGTTAGTTTTGCCTCAAAATGCAAATTTCTGTTAAGGAAATATTATCAGTTTCCTTATACAATATTTGTGATGTTTCAAATAAAGTTACATTGGGATAAAAGATGATGCTTCATTTATAATATGAATATTTAAAATAATTTTTCATTAAAAAAACATTGATTTGACCCCAAGTTCATCATTTTCCAATACTTTTATCTTGGTAGGCTTTTAGTATAATAAAAAAGATGATAATCCGGACACAAAATCTGTTGCAATGTTATCGTTGTTTAAATATTTTTAGCGCAAATCATGTGACTGAACTACAAACCTAAAAATTTAAATACCAGGCTGAACACGTCAGGAGCTATATGACCAAAAGAGACCTTAAAAGAATAACCAAATCAATATAAGGTCAACTTTGCCTTGTTGAGTTGGAACCTTATTTTTTGATGATTTATCAGTATTAAACAATAACTTTTATGTAGGAAAAAAAGAAAGAATGAGTCCATAGTACACGGATGCACCACTCGCACTATCATTTTCTATGTTCAGTGGACCGTGAAATTGGGGTCAAAACTCTAATTTGGCATTAAAATTAGAAAGATTATATCATAGGGAATATGTGTACTAAGTTTCAAGTTAATTGGACTTCAACTTCATCAAAAACTACCTTGACCAAAAATTTTAACCTGAAGCGGGACAGACGGACGGACGAACGAACGAACGAACGAACGGACGCACAGACCGAAAAAACATAATGCCCCTCTACTATCGTAGGTGGGGCATAAAAAAAACAGGAAGCTTTTTGAATTTCCAGACGATCTTTCACGTTCAGTAAAGCATATCTGCATATTTGCAAAAAATAGCACATCATCAAGATTCTTTATTTTTCTATATTGATAATTTTGTTGTTGCTGTTACATGCATGTCAGGCAAAAAAAAAATCCCGGCCTGTTTCCTGCCTCCCTACCTACTGTAAATTTCCGTATCTAGCTTAACACATTTTATATGCATTTTCGGTTAAGCACCGTTAAAGTTTAAAATAATATTACTTACCTATCTTTCCTTTATTTTTTTCCGCCAGGAGACAGGAAACAATTATATATGTATTTTGTTGGGCCTCAATAAAATATAGTGCTGTATTTCACTTCCCGCAGATAAGATATTTACTAAAGGTTAATATAAAAAAAAAACATATACGCACAACCTTAAGCAGCTGAATCCATGATGTCCACGATTGACCAGGAAAAAAAATGTACAAAGTCTGCTATATTCGTGCACATCAACATCATTAGTTATATTATGTATGAGGAAGTAAACCCTCTTTTCAAAAAGTTTTCATCAGACACTTTATAATTCAAATTTCAATACACGTCACCAACTGTCTGAGTTTGATAATGGATGGCTGTTTAACGTCCGGTGACAAATTAAATGCATATTTATAAGAGAAGAACTTCTTAATGCGATATGAATATGAACCCTGCTTTGGACTTTGAACATCAACATCCTTAAGCAATAAAACTTACAAATGATAACGGCTAAATAATTATAAAGCCATTTTTTTTAGGAATCATAGATTTTGTTTTCGTTTGGAGAAATAATATCCCAGCAAGTATAATTGATCATAGTACCTGATAGACTGAGATAACGACTCATTGTTCTACATAGCTTTATTGATACTCCGATTAGGACAAGCTGTCCCCTCCCTTTTATGCCCCAAACCATTTAAAAAAAATAAATAACCGGTAAACAGCTTGAAAAAGATATACAAATTTAATACTATTCATCCAGGATTAACAGAGTCATATTATGCAGCTTGCTGGCTCAAGATAAATATTCATTTTACACTCAGTCAGTTAGAAAGTATTGAATTTCACTAGCATAGATACATGATGATTTATCAAATTCGTTTTATCACTCAAATAATAGATTTCAAGTTGTTTGAACAACGAATCCAGTCAATCAACAAGATCTAACAAGACAGGCTTGTTAACTTAATATTTTTTGATAAATATTATAATTTTGACAATAAATTATCATCTGTCTTTATAACAAAAATGTGTACAAAGTTATTCAATATATATAAAAGTAAACATGGTAAAAGCAAGGATTTATATAGTAAGATATCATACTATATAAATTCTTGGTAAAAGTAAGATAAGATGAAGTTAAAGAAAAAGAAAAAAGACCTACGATATCGTCTTGGAGTTTTGTCCTGTGACTTTTTGTTCTAAGATCTTCTATGACTTTCTGTCCTACATTCCTTCACAATCAACAGTTTATCAACAGATGAATGTGATGCATAATAAACGGGACTAATAAGGCTGAACGATACTTTGCTTGTATCGGTATATTTTCACGAATAAAAATAAGACAATTTTATTAAGGCACTGGCTACGATTAACCGGAGTAACAGTAATTATTTCTTATTGTTACTTTTTGCGGGTAAACATAGCCAGTGCCAGTGCCTTTTATTAACGCATACTTTTTACGGGAAATCTGTGTTGTTTCCCTTGAAATTGTCTCCCTTTGATTATTTCGTGTCGTGGAATAAAATTTCACCACTGCCTCCCGATACACAAGGCCTGAGTTTCCTGTTGTCATTTAATATAAAAATAGACAACGTTTTGCTTATCATATTTATAAGGTAAAGAGGTAAAAAAGGAATACTGAAACTAGAATCCAAATTCGGGCTTTTTATATAAAAAAGGGGGGATTGATTAAATATTCAAGTTGCACATGCTGTGAAAACATGTACACTGGTGGTACTTTAATAATAGTACAGAACTGTCGGCTTATGGGAATTACTTAAAATGGCACAGACAGCTGGGACTTATAAAACAGTACACCCTATTGCTATTTGTCTGTTATTTTATTAAATACTGGACAATCACAAATTTTCTATAAAATTTTGATGTCACAAACGAAATGTTTGAGGCCACAATACAAAGTGATTCTACATATACATGGTACAATGATGCATCAGCACATTATTGAAACAGGAACATACTGTTCCCAGATTGAAATTACAATATACAATCTAAATATTAAGTGTGTGCAAAACTAAAATAATAACACGTTTACATTATTTACAAACTGATCCATCAGGACATTATTGTCTACATCATATATTGGCACCTCACAAACAGACACTCATAATAATTTCAAAAGTGCAATTATATTAAATCTACATATTAAGTTAATTAGTGCAAAAACAAAATTAACACACATTCACATATTTACAAAATGATCTTTTTAATCATGTTAATAGTTCAAGTTCAAGTTTTCCAAAATCTCGGGTCAAGTGTCATAGCTTCACAAAAAGCTTTATTGTCTTTTATTCATGAACTGGTTTGGTATTGCGCTTGTTTAGCTTGCTATATAAGTTCAATTGAGCCTAATGATTTAAATTATTTCCCATGACATTTTGATGCCCCTGCGACAAATTTATGCAAAATGTCGGGGGGCATATTGATTTACCCCTGTCTGTCTGTCCGTTTGTCAGTTCGTCTTTCTTGATATAGATACATGATATGTCTGGCTATCTCCTCCTACAGTTTTTATGAGCTACAGCTTTAATATGTTGTAGGTTGTTTGTGGAATGGAAGTGTGCATGTTCACAGGATTTTGAATTTTTTTCAAATATTCTCAAAATGCCAGGTATTTGAACTCAGTCATTTTTTTTGTACTCAGAATAAAAATAAAAGATAGATCATCATACATTGTGTTAAATTTATAATTTCTTATGGTCAGGCAGGGGTATCATTTGTGTCTTACAGACAGCACAACAATTTCAAGTTGTACTTCAACATCACCGTTTGTCAAATCTGAAGGAATCGTGGAACTATAATCATGTATATGGCAGAGCAGAGGGGGGCATCGTCCATATCAAGTTTAAATGAAATTTCATTTTCTGCTTTTAATTATAAGTTGGAAGTGCAGATTCTTAAACATTATCAATGTGTTAACAGTCCTTTAAAATATAAAAAAAAACATAGTTGAATATTTCTGTCAGTTAGGGGTAATACTTATACAAGTATTTTTTGTTTACTGGTATAAATAAATTATTTTGGAGGTAGAGTTATATCCTTAAGACATTCAGATTTTTATACGACCGCAAAAAAATTTTGCGGTCGTATATTGGTATGACGTTGGCGTCGTCGTCGTCCGAAGACACATTGGTTTTCACACTCTAACTTTAGTTTAAGTGAATGGATCTCTATGAAATTTTACCATAAAATTCAATACCACAAAAGGAAGGTTGGGATTGATTTTGGGGGTTATGGTACCAACAGTTAAGGAATTAGGGGCCAAAAATAAGCATTTTTGTAACTTCCAGACATAACTTGTGTGTTAGTGTATGGATCTCTCTGACATTGTACCACAAGGTTCCATATCACAAAGGGAATGCTGGGATTGATTTTGGGAGTAATTGTCTCAAAATTTTAGGAATTAGGGGCAAAAAAAGGGGCAAAAAACAAGCATTTTTCTAGTTTCATGACAATAACTTGTATGTAAGTTTATGGATCTTTCTGAAATTGTACTACAAGGTTCCATATCACAAAGGGAAAGCTGGAATTGAGTTTGGGGGTAATTGCCAAAAACGTTTAGGAATAAGGGGCCAAAAAGGGGCCAAAAATAAGCATTTGTCTAGTTTCCAGACAATAACTTGTGTTCAAGTGTATGGATCTCTCTGAAATTGTACTGCAAGGTACCATAACACAAAGGGAAGGCTGGGATTGATTTTGAGGGTAATTGCCGTAAAATTTTAGGAATTAGGGGCCAAAAAGGGAAAAAAAACAAGCATTTTTCTAGTTTCAGGACAACAACTTGTGTGTAAGTGTATGGATCTTTATGAAATTGTACTACAAGGTTCCATATCACATAGGGAAAGCTGGGTTTGAGTTTGGGGGTAATTGCCCTAAACGTTTAGAAATTTGGGCCAAAAAAGGGGCCAAAAAACACGCATTTTTATAGTTTCCAGACAATAACTTGTGTTCAAGTGTATGGATCTCTCTGAAATTTTACTGCAAGGTACCATACCACAAAGGGAAGGCTGGGATTGAGTTTGGGGGTGATGAATCGTAAGGGGGTTAAAAAAATTTGGGGGGAGGTTTCCTTTTTTTTTCTTTAAAATTTTCCATTTTAAATTGGTTATTTCTGATTTATATATAAAAATAAATAATAACGATATGGTTTGAATAGGTAAATTAAAATTTTTAAGTTCTTAGACCACATTCATTCTGTGTCGGAAACCTATGCTGTGTCAAATATTTAATCACAATCCAAATTCAGTGCTGTATCAAGCTTGAATGTTGTGTCCATACTTGCCCCAACTGTTCAGGGTTCGACCTCTGCTGTCGTATCAAGCTGCACCCAGCGGAGCATTTTATTTTTACTTATATAAGTAAAAAAGACTTATTTTGTACTACTCTTTAATTTCTCTTGACTTCATTGCTCTAATAGAGTGCTTAATTGTCTGTCACTAAAAATTGTCTTTACTATCCACAAAAGTATAGTTTCATGGACAACGAAAATCTCTTTTGTCTGTTATCTTCAAAAAGGGAGATAATTTTTTAAAGCTCTTTTGAGCTTGTAATTAGGTAATTTATAACACTATGTAATTGTCCTGATGATGCCACCACGGTTGCTAAACTAGTCGACACAACAAAAGATATCGCAATTTTGTGATAGTCTTAGCATTGTTGTCTTTGAATCTTCTTGTGTACTGACTATGCGCTAGACAGCCACCGCATATCAATAGGTATCCACTTTAGCTTTCCTACCATAGACACATGATCATGATAGGTGTTGGTTCACTTTTTGCTATTTTAAAATAATAAGTTAGAAACTGAAATTTCATGAAAAACATTCAAAAGGGAGATAATTTTTCATAGCTCGATTGAGCTTATGTAGCCACATTCAGCTATATTAGCTCAAACTGCAGACATATACAGAATCCGATGAAGGGGCTTGTTACTTCTAGTATTATTCAACAATAAACAATGTAAAATGTAGTATGTTGATCATGTTGATAAGGGGCAAGCAAACTTTCAAACCTACCAACCGTTTCTGAGCAGTTTATGATGGCAACTGTACTTATTTATTGATCAGCAGATGACCAGATATTTCAAAAGTTTTGTGGTCACAGTAAGGTTTGATCAAGTACCAGTATTACTATGGATTCATTTATTTTCATGGATTATGGAAACAAATATTTTCATGGATTATGGAAAAAATGTTTTCATGGATTATGGAAAAAATGTATTTTCATGGATTATGGAAAAAATGTTTTTCATGGATATTTGATTTCCTTGTTTTACAAAAGTCAGCATACAACTCTAAAGAAAATTTG